CTATCTATCTATCTATCTATCTATCTGTGCCTGTTTGTCTATCTATCTATCTATCTATCTATCTATCTATCTGTCTGTCTATCTATCTATCGCATTTGGTGCACTGTATTTTTGTATGGAATACCTGATGACCTACTAAATGTAGCAAAATTTGCAGTATTCAATGAGCACATATAGTGTAATATTCTGTATCCCATAATGCAATGCACTCAAATTGACTTTCTATTAATTTTATTTGACCTTGACTTGCAGAATGATGAATCTAAATGAAGTAAGACTCATTATTTGCTGCCAAAAGCTAAAAATTGTACACAAAACTGGATTAAAAATGCAAAATTAACTATTTTCGAGTTGTAAATGTAATAAGATCATGTCACCAAAAATAGCATACTACTATTTGAAATATTGCATACTTAACCAGATAATTAGCCAGTATACAATAAGTACACTAGTTTTCCATTCCAAGCACAGCCCATCACTGTAACATTGACTCTCCTCAGTCTGATTTCATTACTCCTCCTGACCTGCTGGGGGCGCTGTTGTCCAGGAGCGGTTTCCTCTTGGAGGAGCGGACGGGTGTGGGTGTGAGCGGGCCGGGTCGCTCCGTCAGGCGCTGAGTCTGGAAGGCGTGGTGGTTCAGACTCTGTTCAGTCAGATAGCGCTCATTCGGGTTTAACAACAACAGGTTCTGAAAATACAAACCACAATGACATGGATAATCCTGGTTGACAGTCTCAACCACTCGATCCTATGAAAACATTTCACAGTGAAATCGAAAGAAAAAACTTAGTAAAAAAACCCCCCAATTTTTTCAATTCTTTTCATGAAAACTAAGCACATTTCTTTAATTCTGATTATTATAATGAATTGAAAATTTTTACTTACAGTACCTTCCTGTACAATTTTCTGTGTACTGTACTATATTTTAGAATATACATATATACTATCTTATAGAAATATATAATTCTTATAGTAATATATAATTACCTTACATTTTATTATAAATTAAATTAAAACATTTAATTACTATAAAGGAACTACAACTGCTACATTATATATAATTACTTTATGAATGTAAATCTATATTTTGCTGAATTATTTTGTGCTCTACATCTATCTATCTATCTATCTATCTATCTATATTAGACTAAATATATACAGTGGGTACGGAAAGTATTCAGACCCCCTTAAATTTTTCACTCTTTGTTATATTGCAGCCATTTGCTAAAATCATTTAAGTTAATTTTTTTTCCTCATTAATGTACACACAGCACCCCATATTGACAGAAAAACACAGAATTGTTGACATTTTTGCAGATTTATTAAAAAAGAAAAACTGAAATATCACATCGTCCTAAGTATTCAGACCCTTTGCTCAGTACTTAGTAGAAGCACCCTTTTGATCTAATACAGCCACGAGTCTTTTTGGGAAAGATGCAACAAGGTTATATCCACTGGATTTGGGGATCCTCTGCCATTCCCTCTTGCAGATCCACTCCAGTTCTGTCAGGTTGGATGGTAAACGTAGGTGGACAGCCATTTTTAGGTCTCTCCAGAGATGCTCAATTGGGTTTAAGTCAGGGCTCTGGCTGGGCCATTCAAGAACAGTCACAGAGTTGTTGTGAAGCCACTCCTTCGTTATTTTAGCTGTGTGCTTAGGGTCATTGTCTTGTTGGAAGGTAAACCTTAGTTCCAGTCTGAGGTCCTGAGCACTCTGGAGAAGGTTTTCATCCAGGATATCCCTGTACTTGGCCGCATTCATCTTTCCCTCGATTGCAACCAGTCGTCCTGTCCCTGCAGCTGAAAAACACCCCCACAGCATGATGCTGCCACCACCATGCTTCACTGTTGGGACTGTATTGGACAGGTGCCTGGTTTTCTCCACACATACCGCTTAGAATTAAGGCCAAAAAGTTCTATCTTGGTCTCATCAGACCAGAGAATCTTATTTCTCACCATCTTGGAGTCCTTCAGATGTTTTTTAGCAAACTCCATGCGGGCTTTCATGTGTCTTGAACTGAGGAGAGGCTTCCGTCGGGCCACTCTGCCATAAAGCCCCGACTGGTGGAGGGCTGCAGTGATGGTTGACTTTCTACAACTTTCTCCCATCTCCCGACTGCATCTCTGGAGCTCAGCCACAGTGATCTTTGGGTTCTTCTTTACCTCTCTCACCAAGGCTCTTCTCCCCCGATAGCTCAGTTTGGCCGGACGGCCAGCTCTAGGAAGGCTTCTGGTCGTCCCAAACGTCTTCCATTTAAGGATTATGGAGGCCACCGTGCTCTTAGGAACCTTAAGTGCAGCAGAAATTTTTCTGTAACCTTGGCCAGATCTGTGCCTTGCCACAATTCTGTCTCTGAGCTCTTCAGGCAATTCCTTTGACCTCATGATTCTCATTTGCTCTGACATGCACTGTGAGCTGTAAGGTCTTATATAGACAGGTGTGTGGCTTTCCTAATCAAGTCCAATCAGTATAATCAAACACAGCTGGACTCAAATGAAGGTGTAGAACCATCTCAAGGATGATCAGAACAAATGGACAGCACCTGAGTTAAATATATGAGTGTCACAGCAAAGGGTCTGAATACTTAAGACCATGTGATATTTCAGTTTTTCTTTTTTAATAAATCTGCAAAAATGTCAACAATTCTGTGTTTTTCTGTCAATATGGGGTGCTATGTGTACATTAATGAGGAAAAAAAATTAACTTAAATGATTTTAGCAAATGGCTGCAATATAACAAAAAGTGAAAAATTTAAGGGGGTCTGAATACTTTCCGTACCCACTGTAACCTCTAAATATGGTGGTTTTTTTCTGGCGGTATTTTGTGATTTATGGAGCGATTAAAAGAGAGATCCCCTCAGTAAAAGCCTTTAACTCTAATATGTAAAAAAAAAATTGGACCAGGCTTTATGCAATGTTCAGTTTATTATTCTGGAAATATATGCAAATGAGTGCATATTTAATTAGATAATGCAACGTTTGCATATGTGAACATAATGTTACAGAAAACTTAAAGGCTTCATTTGGCCAAAAAATTTAAATTGTCATCATTTCCTTACATCAAGTTGTTCCAAACCTGTATGAGTGTTTGAGCACAGAAAAATATATTTTGAAGAGTGTAGGTAACCAAACAGTTGATGGTAGCCATTGTATTTTTGCATACTGTGGCTACTGTAAACCATAAACTGTTTGGTTACCAACATTCTTCAAAATAT